CTCACTCACTCTCTCTCACTCACTCACTCACTCACTCACTCACTCACTCACTCACTCATGTTACAGTTTTTCTCAGTCGCTTTGGTGCATTTCTCACATCATTCTTCACATTTGCACAACTGTTGGTGCATTTCTCAGAACAATTAGTGTAAACTGCAGAACCTCGTGGATAACCTGCAAAAGTGCGTCACTTTCTCAAAATGAAAAGTTTTTTCCTCAAAAGCAAGTCCAAACGTTAATGAAACTGCCTATGTCGTCAAAATAATATGTCCTAACAACATTGAGTATGAACATCACAGTCAAATGACTTAGTCATGTTTTCATTGTGAAAGTTTACTCTGTGTTTTCAGTGTAAAAAAGTCAGATCTCGGTGACACTTGAGCACGACACACTATACACGACCTGTGCAGCCATTTACAGTAAAAACTACAGTAAAGTTACACAAAGACTGTATTTAGAGACGTAACTGACATATATGTATGTATATATGTGTGTATGTACTGTATGTATGTGTGTGTGTGTGTGTGTATCTATGTATGTATGTACTGTATGTATGTATGTGTGTATCTACTGTATGTGTGTACTGTATGTATGTGTGTGTGTGTGTGTGTGTATCTATGTATGTATGTATGTACTGTATGTATGTATGTGTGTATCTACTGTATGTATGTATGTTCTATGTATATACATGTATGTGTCTGCACTTCTACAGCATTGTGCAACAAAAATACAAAGAGCATATGCAGTACACATACATACATACATACATATACATACAGTACATACATACATAGATATACACATACATACAGTACATACATACATACAGTACATACATACATACATAGATACACACACACATACATACATACAGTACATACATACATACATAGATACACACACACATACATACATACATACAGTACATACATACATACATAGATACACACACACATACATACATACAGTACATACATACATACATAGATACACACACACATACATATATACAGTACATACATACATACATAGATACACACACACATACATATACATACAGTACATGCATACATACATACATATACATACAGTACATACATACATACATACATACATACGTACATACGTACATACGTACATACATACATACATACATACATACAGTACATACAGTACATACATACATACATACATACAGTACATACATACATACATACATACATACATACATACATACATACATACATACATACATACATACATACATACATACATACATACATACAGAAATATCATTATGGTAGAACTGTGACAAAAATAAACAATAAAGCACACCTCAGAGTGAAGCTGAAATTCACCTGAGATAAATTGTTCAATTTAGGAAATATTTACAGGAAAAAAAAAGATAAAGGAATGTATGAAATTAGCTTGACAGTTATGATTTTGAGAACTAGTTCAACAATTTTGTATGTGATGACCAAAGCAATGAAATGAGAACAGTTAGTTTTATAGTGAAAGACTATTCAGAAGTCATAAGTATGTTTCATTCTGACTGACAGGACAGAAGCAAATGATAATGTTAAAAAAAGGCAGAGAATTGTTTGAAAGTTATTGATACATGAACGAAAGCATTTGAAATGTGTTCAGAGGAATGAGAAACTGCCGTGATGATGTGCACCAATGACCCAATGTTGTGGAGGTTGAACTAATAGTTTTGAGAAGTTTAAGTCTGATGTGAGAAATGCACCAAAGCGACTGAGAAAAACTGTAAGTCCAACCTCTTCCAAAACACTTTAGGTTCATATAAAGAATATTTATTTCCATATGAATGTGTAAACAAACATGTGTTGGTCATGCTCGTCTCTGATTGGCTGATGGCAGGCGTGATCGGACTCACGTACATCATCAATAAGTTCCGGATCGTGAAGTTGACCAAGAAGGACCAGTTCATCGTGGCGTACGGCGGTCTGCGCGGCGCCATCGCCTTCTCTCTGGGCTTCCTGCTCACGGACAACGACCTCAAACACATGTTCCTCACGGCCATCATCACCGTCATCTTCTTCACCGTGTTCGTGCAGGTCACTCCTCTTCGCCGTCTCTTTCTTCTCTGATGATGATCATGGATGTGTTTTATGAACTTCTTCCTCTGATGTTTCCTCCTCAGGGCATGACCATCCGGCCGCTGGTGGAGCTGCTCGCCGTGAAGAAGAAGAAGGAAACCAAAGGATCCATAAACGAGGAGATCCACACCCAGGTCTCTGCATGTTTTACTATTAGATTATAGATTATAGATTATAGATTATAGATTATAGATTATAGATGATATAATAGGATTGTACGTCGGTCTGGACATAAGAATAATATAAGTAAGGGATAACGTATATTATGCGGAAGCAGACCGCTTCGCCCTGTCGGTACTTATTTTCCGTATTATTATACGGCTTTATACCAACAGAACACACAACATAAACTTCAGTCCACTTTTAGGAATGCCGAAAGGTTTATTTAATGACAGAACATAAAATAGTTCCCAAAGGCTTTCCCGTGGCTATGCTAGCAACAGTTAGGCTGGGAACTTCCAAATTAGAACTCTCTGGAACTGCATGAAAACTGAACAAAGAATTCTGAACATCAGCGGTGAGTGACCCAAACATAAACTTAACCTAAATCCGTAATTCGAGCCTCTGCAAATGTGTCCGAAAATGTACATATGTATAATTCACTCTCCGATTAACATTTCATTGCGTTGATTGATTGGCATTTGCGTTTATTGAGCGGCCGGAACTTCCGGGTTTTTCACGATTGCTTTTTGACGCAGATACATTGTATTTTTGTCATGAAGACAAGACCAGAAAATTCTTAAAATTTCCGTGCACGTGTGTGAAGAATGTATATGTATAAGTATTCTCCGATTAACATTTAAGTGTGTTGATTGAGCGTGGCTAGCTCCGGAGTGGCCGGAACTACTTGCGGAGTTATCCACGCATTTGAAAGACAAGCAGAGAGTGCGTTGCCAAAGGGCAGCGGCCATTATTGTTTTGAGAGGTCCGTTATAGAAAATAATTACCGGTAGAAAGTTTTGAAATTACATTCAAATCAATGGAGCGTTTTACTGCTGCTGTTAGGAGCCGTATAATAATGTAAAATAATCTAATTCCACAATGATTCATCGGGAGGTAATGATACGATAAATGTGACTTGTGTTGTAGTTTCTGGATCATCTTCTGACCGGGATCGAAGACATCTGTGGTCACTACGGACACCACCACTGGAAAGACAAGTGAGAGTTTCCCTCAATCGCTTCAGATTCAGGTTATTTGCCATATGCAGTAAAAGTAAAACCACATTGGAATACACGTGCAGAAGGACCCCAGAGAAGTACATGACAGAAAACAAGACAAAAGTGCAAGAACCAATTGTTGCTGGTAAACCAATCAAAAAAAACACTTAAAAAAACAAGTGCAAGATCCTTAAAGTGCTTAAAGTGCTTATGCAGCTTATAATAATGCAGTGTATTATTATAAACCTTCAGTAGAATAAAACAAAAGATATTCCTCACAGGAAAGGTAATAAAACAACCAAAAACAATGTGAGACTAACACATGTTTCTCAATGCAATAAGTCAAAAATAGTTTGGCAATAAAGTGGCACTAACTATGTGGAAAAAAATATAAAAAATCCACTCTCAGCCCAAAAAGTCAAATAATGACTCACAAGGCTCTTTCTAAAGTAAGCAAAATAAACAAAACATGACTGTTTTGGTTTGTTAGGCCCGAGCCCCGAACGGGGTAAGGGCCTATTGCTTTCACAATGGTGAAAACAAATGGTGGCGGTGCGTGACGGACGCGTCAGCGCCCGTCACTCACCAAAACGTGACGGTTGCGTGCGTAAACTCAAAAGCTTTAAAATGATGTATCAGGTGCCATTGAAACCTATATTGTTTTTGCTCGAGACGTCGAAAAAAAAATTCCTTTTTTATTTATTTATTAGGCCCGAGCCCCGAACGGGGTAAGGGCCTATTGCTTTCACAATAGTGAAAACAAATGGTGGCGGTGCGTGACGGACGCGTCAGCGCCCGTCACTCACCAAAATGTGACGGTTGCGTGCGTAAACTCAAAAGCTTTAAAATGATGTATCACATGCCATTGAAACCTATATTGTTTTTGCTCGAGACGTTAAAAAAAAAATTCCTTTTTTATTTATTAGGCCCGAGCCCCGCACGGGGAAAGGGCCTATTGTTTTTGCTCGAGAGATGTCAAATTCTGCACTTTGAGCCTTAATTTCACCCCCTGAACATGCATGAAAAGTTGTAAAATTTTGACCAAACATCAGACCTGGTGAAAAATTTGATATTTTGGTGTTTATTTTTTATGGGACTCAAAAAATGCCAGAACAGCGCCACCTACAACAGCCAATGGGAGTTTCAGAGGTCAAGTTTGTCGTAGAGCCATGAAATTCGGTACACATGTTCCTCAAGTCAAGATACGACCGAAATGTTATCATGGCTCCGCCCTCTGACAAACAGGAGGCCCATAAATTTCACTGCAAAATGGAAAAATGAACAGCAAAAGTTTTCATACATGTCGGTTGGAAAGCGACTCCTCCTCGGCCGTTTCACCGATTGGCCTCCATATCACTCCACATTGTCTAAACACATGTACCATCAAAATGACCTCAGGGATTTTTGATCAGTGAAACTTTGTTTGAGCAGCGGAGCGGCAAAATGTGAGTGTTTATTGGCCGTTTTTCACAACCTTCTATTTGCTCCCGTTTACACATACAAATTCCGATTTGCACAAAACTTGAATCCATGGTTCAACTCTAGGGTCTAGGTCATTTGAAAGTGAAATAATTGAACATGGCTCATTAACGCCCCCTACAGACTATTTCAGAGTTTTTAGTATGAAAAACTCTGAAAACTTTGACTCCATCTGTAGGGGCACTAATGAGCCAAGTTCTTTTATTTTACTTTCAATTGACCTAGACCCTAGAGTTAAACAATGTATTAAAGTTTTGTGCAAATCAGACTTTGTATGTGCAAACGGGAGCAAATTTAATATTGTCCAAAACGGCCAAAAAAAGGTCACAATTTGCAGCTCCCCTGTTCGAACAACGTTTCACTGATGAAAAATCGCCGAAGTCATTTTTAAGGTACATGTGTTGAGATGATGTGGAGCGATTTTGAGGCGAATCGGTGAAACGGCCGAGGAGGAGTCGCTTTCCAACCGACATGTATGAAAATGATTGCTGTTCATTTTTCCATTTTGCAGTGAAATTTATGGGCTTCCTGTATGTCAGAGGGCGGGGCCATAATAACATTTTTTTCATGTCTTGACTTGAGGAACATGTGTACCGAATTTCATGGCTCTACGACAAACTTGACCTCCGAAAAATCCCATGGGGGTTATTATTAGGCCCGAGCCCCGAACGGGGAAAGGGCCTATTGTTTTTGCTCGAGAGATGTCAAATTCTGCACTTTGAGCCTTAATTTCACCCCCTGAACATGCATGAAAAGTTGTAAAATTTTGACCAAACATCAGACCTGGTGAAAAATTTGATATTTTGGTGTTTATTTTTATGGGACTCAAAAAATGCCAGAACAGCGCCACCTACAACAGCCAATGGGAGTTTCAGAGGTCAAGTTTGTCGTAGAGCCATGAAATTCGGTACACATGTTCCTCAAGTCAAGATACGACCGAAATGTTATCATGGCTCCGCCCTCTGACAAACAGGAGGCCCATAAATTTCACTGCAAAATGGAAAAATGAACAGCAAAAGTTTTCATACATGTCGGTTGGAAAGCGACTCCTCCTCGGCCGTTTCACCGATTGGCCTCCATATCACTCCACATTGTCTAAACACATGTACCATCAAAATGACCTCAGGGATTTTTGATCAGTGAAACGTTGTTTGAGCAGCGGAGCGGCAAAATGTGAGTGTTTATTGGCCGTTTTTCACAACCTTCTATTTGCTCCCGTTTACACATACAAATTCCGATTTGCACAAAACTTGAATCCATGGTTCAACTCTAGGGTCTAGGTCATTTGAAAGTGAAATAATTGAACTTGGCTCATTAACGCCCCCTACAGACTATTTCAGAGTTTTTAGTATGAAAAACTCTGAAAACTTTGACTCCATCTGTAGGGGCACTAATGAGCCAAGTTCTTTTATTTCACTTTTAATTGACCTAGACCCTAGAGTTAAACAATGTATTAAAGTTTTGTGCAAATCAGACTTTGTATGTGCAAACGGGAGCAAATTTAATATTGTCCAAAACGGCCAAAAAAAAGGTCACAATTTGCAGCTCCCCTGTTCGAACAACGTTTCACTGATGAAAAATCGCCGAAGTCATTTTCAAGGTACATGTGTTGAGATGATGTGGAGCGATTTTGAGGCGAATCGGTGAAACGGCCGAGGAGGAGTCGCTTTCCAACCGACATGTATGAAAATGATTGCTGTTCATTTTTCCATTTTGCAGTGAAATTTATGGGCTTCCTGTATGTCAGAGGGCGGGGCCATAATAACATTTTTTTCATGTCTTGACTTGAGGAACATGTGTACCGAATTTCATGGCTCTACGACAAACTTGACCTCCGAAAAATCCCATGGGGGTTATTATTAGGCCCGAGCCCCGAACGGGGAAAGGGCCTATTGTTTTTGCTCGAGAGATGTCAAATTCTGCACTTTGAGCCTTAATTTCACCCCCTGAACATGCATGAAAAGTTGTAAAATTTTGACCAAACATCAGACCTGGTGAAAAATTTGATATTTTGGTGTTTATTTTTATGGGACTCAAAAAATGCCAGAACAGCGCCACCTACAACAGCCAATGGGAGTTTCAGAGGTCAAGTTTGTCGTAGAGCCATGAAATTCGGTACACATGTTCCTCAAGTCAAGATACGACCGAAATGTTATCATGGCTCCGCCCTCTGACAAACAGGAGGCCCATAAATTTCACTGCAAAATGGAAAAATGAACAGCAAAAGTTTTCATACATGTCGGTTGGAAAGCGACTCCTCCTCGGCCGTTTCACCGATTGGCCTCCATATCACTCCACATTGTCTAAACACATGTACCATCAAAATGACCTCAGGGATTTTTGATCAGTGAAACGTTGTTTGAGCAGCGGAGCGGCAAAATGTGAGTGTTTATTGGCCGTTTTTCACAACCTTCTATTTGCTCCCGTTTACACATACAAATTCCGATTTGCACAAAACTTGAATCCATGGTTCAACTCTAGGGTCTAGGTCATTTGAAAGTGAAATAATTGAACTTGGCTCATTAACGCCCCCTACAGACTATTTCAGAGTTTTTAGTATGAAAAACTCTGAAAACTTTGACTCCATCTGTAGGGGCACTAATGAGCCAAGTTCTTTTATTTCACTTTTAATTGACCTAGACCCTAGAGTTAAACAATGTATTAAAGTTTTGTGCAAATCAGACTTTGTATGTGCAAACGGGAGCAAATTTAATATTGTCCAAAACGGCCAAAAAAAAGGTCACAATTTGCAGCTCCCCTGTTAGAACAACGTTTCACTGATGAAAAATCGCCGAAGTCATTTTCAAGGTACATGTGTTGAGATGATGTGGAGCGATTTTGAGGCGAATCGGTGAAACGGCCGAGGAGGAGTCGCTTTCCAACCGACATGTATGAAATGATTGCTGTTCATTTTTCCATTTTGCAGTGAAATTTATGGGCTTCCTGTATGTCAGAGGGCGGGGCCATAATAACATTTTTTTCATGTCTTGACTTGAGGAACATGTTTAATCTTGATTTATTGTCACATACATTGAAATAGACAGAAGGGTTGCCATCACTCTTTAAGAAAATGAACTGAGTCAGGGACAAAGGACGTGTGTTGACCTCTCCTCACTTTTCTTTCACAAAGTGTATCTTAAATAGTAACGTATTAGTCAGTAGCATCTCTTCTGCTGCACGTGCTGCACCTCCACACGCTCTGGGTTTAACGGTATATTTAATTTCACTATGATCTTAGTGAACATTAGTATAGCATATCACCCGGGCCTAACGTCAAAGGTAAATACCATAGACTGTAAAGACTTGTTTAATATGATACACATGTGAGTCTGTGGTCACAATCATCTGTAAGTGGCTCTTTTACACTCGTTTACATTATTGATATTATACAATACTACACTCGGTCTGTTACTGTTCCCGCCGCAGGACGCCTCTCTGTCCTACGACCCGGACGCTCCTTTGGGGGAGATCCAGAGCGATGTGGTGTTCCGTGAAGGACAGACCTCCGGAGGCCACGCCACCTACACTCCACGACTCATCGCAATGGACCTCAAAGGTACGCCCAGTCTGACCACTCAAAGGTACGGCCAGTCTGACCACTCAAAGGTACGGCCAGTCTGACCACTCAAAGGTACGCCCAGACTGACCACTCAAAGGTACGACCAGTCTGACCACTCAAAGGTACGCCCAGTCTGACCACTCAAAGGTACGCCCAGACTGACCACTCAAAGGTACGACCAGTCTGACCACTCAAAGGTACGCCCAGTCTGACCACTCAAAGGTACGCCCAGACTGACCACTCAAAGGTACGCCCAGTCTGACCACTCAAAGGTACGGCCAGTCTGACCACTCAAAGGTACGCCCAGTCTGACCACTCAAAGGTACGCCCAGACTGACCACTCAAAGGTACGGCCAGTCTGACCACTCAAAGGTACGCCCAGTCTGACCACTCAAAGGTACGCCCAGACTGACCACTCAAAGGTACGGCCAGTCTGACCACTCAAAGGTACGCCCAGTCTGACCACTCAAAGGTACGCCCAGACTGACCACTCAAAGGTACGCCCAGACTGACCACTCAAAGGTACGCCCAGACTGACCACTCAAAGGTACGACCAGTCTGACCACTCAAAGGTACGGCCAGTCTGACCACTCAAAGGTACGCCCAGTCTGAGAGACCATAATGAGTTTTGATATTATTTTTGGATTTGCTTTGATTGAACCAAAACTGGACTGACGTTTAAGAAAGCTGAGTGTAGATTAATTTACAGATGACAGATCACCGGCCGTCAGCCGCACTGTGGAGGCCGCATATGGCCCCTAGGCCGCATGTTGCCCAGGACTGTTCTGATAGGACAGAGTAAAGTAGGTGATCTGTTGGTCATCTCACTGAAGTATGAACCAAACTTCATGTAAACTGTAAACTGTTTTCCAAAGGGAGTCTTCGAACGCTCCGACAGGAAGGAAGTCTGTACGACCCTGGGAAAGACACATCTGCAGCGTCATGGTGAGAGAGAGGGATTATATAATAATATATTATTATAAATCATTTATAATAATAACTCGTGTCATGGTGAGAGAGACATCTTTGAGAATGTTCTTTTCTGATACTGTTTATATAATAATACTAACTCCTGTTTTAGGGAGGGAAATCTCATGTTGCACAAAGAAAGTCCTCCATCAAAGAACCCTTTCCTGGAGGATCTGGACACTATTGATGCAAGTATCATTTAAATAGTTGTAGTTGTAGTTGTAGTTGTAGGTGCTCGGAGCTCTACAGTCTGTACGGTCTGTGTTTGTAAAGAAGCCGTACGTTTGAGTGACATGTGTCTTTCTTTACAGAAAGGAGAGATTTTAGCAGAATCAGACTCCTCCTTCTCTCCCCCACACTGCTCTGGTACGTGGTCATGTGACCCGGAATATCACAATAATTACTAATCATTCATATGTTTTAGGGATCAGAGAACTCTGATTCTAAAACTTATTTATTCAACGTCTTAATATCAATAGTTTACTTTGGTTTTTCTTACAAAACACAAGCACTTTGATCTTTACACGTTTATAATATAAACAAACTCATTTAGCTTCAACTTCATGACGTTGTATCTTTGGACAGTTGTTCCACAGTTTAACCTTTTACTCTCTACCTTTGGTTTTATTCAATCTTTTTCATTAATGATATTAAATAAAATATTAAATGAAATTATGAAAGGGTTAAATTATTATGAAATGTTTCCTGTTGTTTTGTTTGAGCTTATGTCTTTAATAGTTAATCTGTATTTATTTAATATTTAAATGAAGCAATGTATCAAACAATAAAATAAATGTCCTCTTCCTCCTTCGTCTTCGTCATAATCTTCATCATCATCAGCCGCAGCAGTGACTGTGGACTCGGTGAACACTCAGCTCTCCAAACTTCAGAAAAGCTACAGACTCGAGGGCAGCGTCCGAGTCTGGTCCGACTTCCTGCGGATCCACCTCCACCCGAGAACCATCTCTGTGGTCCACCAGTACAACCACGACGGGTACGTTTACCGGACACAGCCGAGACCCACGAGAACCACGACGGGTACGTTTACCGGACACAGCCGAGACCCACGAGAACCACGACGGGTACGTTTACCGGACACAGCCGAGACCTAAACTCCTCTTGATCAGTAACTGTTTGTGTCACACTCACTTCAGGATCACGTTAGCCACACGGCTGCCCCTGTTCAGGAGCAAATGCCCATATAAGGAAATTGGCTCCAGCTATCTTATGTCCAATGGGCTCCTCTGAGATGACTGTTGTGATTTAGGGATATATGTTATATACTGTATGTTGAATTATAAATATACATATAATTGTACGCTATACTTATGCTGTTGGTTTGATCTGTATTTAAAGATTTCTAAGATGGTGATTTCTAAGATGGTGATTTCTAAGATGTGGTTCCACAGAGAGGCCCATCGTCTGGAGGCGTTCGCTCAGGGAGAGTCTCTGCTGCAGGGACCGGTGCTGGAGGATCTGGAAGACCGTCTGCACTTCTTTGTGGAAGAGTGTGATTATCTACAGGTGGGATTATCTACAGGTGGGATTATCTACAGGTGGGATTATCTACAGGTGGGATTATCTACATGTGGGATTATCTACAGGTGGGATTATCTACAGGTGGGATTATCTACAGGTGGGATTATCTACAGGAGGGATTATCTACAGGAGGGATTATCTACAGGAGGGATTATCTACAGGAGGGATTATCTACAGGAGGGATTATCTACAGGAGGGATTATCTACAGGAGGGATTATCTACAGGAGGGATTATCTACAGGAGGGATTATCTACAGGAGGGATTATCTACAGGAGGGATTATCTACAGGAGGGATTATCTACAGGAGGGATTATCTACAGGAGGGATTATCTACAGGAGGGATTATCTACAGGAGGGATTATCTACAGGAGGGATTATCTACAGGAGGGATTATCTACAGGAGGGATTATCTACAGGTGGGATTACCTACAGGTGGGATTACCTACAGGTGGGATTACCTACAGGTGGGATTACCTACAGGTGGGATTACCTACAGGTGGGATTACCTACAGGTGGGATTACCTACAGGTGGGATTACCTACAGGTGGGATTACCTACAGGTGGGATTACCTACAGGTGGGATTACCTACAGGTGGGATTACCTACAGGTGGGATTACCTACAGGTGGGATTACCTTACAGGTGGGATTACCTACAGGTGGGATTACCTACAGGTGGGATTACCTACAGGTGTTGTCAGAGAGCCTCTTTCACGCCGGGAGCTCCTTTCTCTGGACTAGAATAATCTAGATTAAGACAGAGCTGCTCTTTAAAGTGACTGGAAAAAAGAGTCTGTTAAATAGAGAGAAAGCTTTGGACTGTTGCTGTGTGAGAAACAGGAAGTCTCTCAAATTATTACAACTATGTAATAATTGTAATTAATGTATAAATTGTGAGAAATGAAAAATAGTTGTGTGTTTCAGGGGTTCCAGGTGTTCTGTGATCTGGCAGACGGGTTTTCAGGCCTGGGGTCGAAGGTCACAGAGCTGCTCCAGGACTCCTACAGTGGGCGGGGCATACTCACGTGGGGGCTGGCACCTGTCAATCACCCAAACTCAGTACGTCACTGCAATCTTACATCTGCAACGGAAGATTAAAGGTTCCAGACCCTCCTGAAAACTACAGAAGGCATAGTTTATGTTTTATTGTTGTCTTTTAGAATTATTATTCTTATTATGAATCCTTTTGGCTCCTAAAAATCTAAACTTTAACGAGCTTTTAAGACTTTTGGAGACTTTCATTCATCTTGTGCTGTTCTGTGACGATGCAACACTGACATTTCCCCACTGTGGGACGAATTAAGGATCTCCTAATCTTAATCTATTATTTTTGCATTTAGTGAAATCTGATCTCTTAAATTGACACACAGTAGATTCTAATCCAAAGTTTACATTTAGATTGACACTTTGTGGTCCACATCCTGCGTACAGCTCGTCATGTGGGTCTTGTGTATAATAATCCATTCATAATCTATAATCCATAATTCCTTGATCTTTTCCCAGACTCGGATGAAGGACCTGTACCACCTGCTGAACTCTGCCCTGGGCTCGGTGCACTTGTCCGGTCACAGCTCCATGTTCTGTCCCATGACGCTGCGGGGGGGTCTGGGTTTAAGGCCCACTGCACCTGTGTCCTTCCCCTTCCTCAGCTATGATGTAAACTCAGATTATAGAATGTGTTTGTCCAAAATCTAATGTAAACTTCTTTAATCCTGTTATTCTTATCGTCTGTACAATTACTCTAATGAAAAGGGATTATCCTCCGTCACGGAGGTGGTTTACAGACTAAAAGATATCGTTGTCAGAGCAGAGTTTATGGACTTATTATTTACTTATTTTGAGTGAATAATCCACTTCCTGGACACTTCTTTATAATGAAAATAAACTGGTGAATGAGTCACAGAAGCTAACGGTTAAATCATGTTGTGCTCTCTGCTTCATTAAACATGAAAACCTGCGGCTGATATTCAAGTGCAGTCTCTATGTGGACAAAATGGATTTTCTTTTCAGTTGTCGGTGTATTCTATACTTTTACTTTTACTCTTTGCTCCAGAGTTAATTTGAGGCTGTCTTTTGTCCTGTGTGTGGCAGACATGAGCAGAATAATCTGTTTCCTCGTCTCTCCTTCAGCCCAGTCTGTGGTACCACTCCAGTGCAGTTCTGGCTTTGGCCCTGGACGCCATCACTGCGCCTTACAGACTGCGGACCAACAGCGCCACCATGTGGCAGCTGTCAGACACTCTGACTGTTGCAGGGAGGAAGGTACATCTTTACAGAATACACGGTTTTATTATTAGTTTCATTTTCAGCAGAAGAGGTTATGCTTTCATTGGGGTTTGTTTGTTTGTAAAATGTTATGGGCAAGAAACACTGCAAAGAATAAGTTAAACATCTCTTGAATTGGACCAAATATATTTAGATTTTAGCTTTATTTTGACTGTATTTAAACTAGATTTGCCAATGGGAATAAGATAAATGTCTTGTTTTAAACATACCTGCAAAGAAATCACATTTTACTGCAAGAAAAGCTCATTCATATCAATCCTGGAGTTTGGCTTTGGACAGGGTTATCTCTGCTCAAGGTAGTTTAAGTACTGTGGTAGTGTACAGTACTGCGGTAGTGTAAGTACTGCGGTAGTGTACAGTACTGCGGTAGTGTACAGTACTGCGGTAGTGTAAAGTACTGCGGTAGTGTACAGTACTGCGGTAGTGTACAGTACTGCGGTAGTGTAAAGTACTGCGGTAGTGTACAGTACTGCGGTAGTGTACAGTACTGCGGTAGTGTAAAGTACTGCGGTAGTGTACAGTACTGCGGTAGTGTACAGTACTGCGGTAGTGTACAGTACTGCGGTAGTGTACAGTACTGCGGTAGTGTAAAGTACTGCGGTAGTGTAAAGTACTGCGGTAGTGTACAGTACTGCGGTAGTGTACAGTACTGCGGTAGTGTAAAGTACTGCGGTAGTGTAAAGTACTGCGGTAGTGTACAGTACTGCGGTAGTGTACAGTACTGCGGTAGTGTAAGTACTGCGGTAGTGTAAGTACTGCGGTAGTGTACAGTACTGCGGTAGTGTAAAGTACTGCGGTAGTGTAAAGTACTGCGGTAGTGTACAGTACTGCGGTAGTGTAAAGTACTGCGGTAGTGTACAGTACTGCGGTAGTGTACAGTACTGCGGTAGTGTAAAGTACTGCGGTAGTGTACAGTACTGCGGTAGTGTAAAGTACTGCGGTAGTGTACAGTACTGCGGTAGTGTACAGTACTGCGGTAGCATGTTGTTCAGTTTTATCCAAATGAGATAAAATGAATACATGAAAAGGCTCTTTGTGTGTTGTGATGTCACATGAACCCAGCCTGTCTTGTTTGCTGTGGTACATTGTTCAGGTCGTCTCTGCGTACGGGGCCGTCCCATTTCCCATGATGCACGGCGGCTCTCTGCCCGACGCCCTCAGCCCCTTCTCCAAGTCGTTACCGTGGAAACCTCTGTCGTCGTGTCCGGAGGCGGGAGACGGGCGATGCTTCGGGCAGTGGGCGACTCTGAAAGGCTTCGAGGGACAGAGGCTCGTCAGGTTTGTTTAATGTCTGCTTTTCTTCACACAAACCCTGAAATATATATATTTTTTTTTTTTTTAATTTATTTATTTAAAGGGACAATGCATATTAATGAACATCATCATCTATCAATACCAAGTGTGGCTGAGTGGTTAACACTCTCGCCTCTCAGCAAGAAGGTCCTGTGTTCGAATCCCGGTCGGAGCAGGGCCTTTCTGAGTGGAGTTTGCATGTTCTCCCCGTGTCTGCGTAGGTTTCCTCCAGTTTCCCTTACCACTAAAAACATGTTAATAGTTCTGTGCCTCCTGTACTGGCCCCTCCCATCTCTGTGTGGACTGAGAGACTAATGCTTTGTGACTCTGGTCTGTGAAAGGCGCTATATAAATAAACATTACTTACTTGAGTTAACTTCTCCTCTCAGTTCTCTGGCCCCTGGGAACCCTCCTCCTTCTGCTCTGCACTCTCTTCACAGCGGAGAGGACGTCCTGGGGTCTTACCTCAGCTCCTTCTACCCCAACTCTCCACTGTGAGTCTGCACTGCATCAATAACATACACAGACACAGACACAGACACAGACACAGACACAGACACACAGACACACACACAGACACACACACACACACACAGACACACACACACACACACACACACACACACACACACACACACACACACACACACACACACACACACACACACACACACACACACACACACACACACACACACACACACACACACACACACACACACACACACACACACACACACACACACACACACACACACAGACACTTAATAACTGAATATTCCTTGTATGTTTCCCTCAGGGCTCTGCAGCTTGTGTCCAGTCCCAGTAAACTCACGGCTCCGTTTCCTCAGATGTTTGACCCGAGGCTTGATACAAATGGACTTTTACACGGTCAGACTCCACAGACAGGAAGTACGTTTTCATTCCAATGTCTGTCGACTGTAAGACAAGGCAGGGTTATTTGTATAGCACAGTTCATACACGGAAACTCAGAGTGAGGATCACATTAAAAAGAGTGAAGACAAAATCCTTCAGTTGTTTTCAGATAAACAGAACAGTTTTAACCTGGATTTGAACATTGTCGGTGGAGAATCCTGTCTCACATTTTCACACAGACTGTTCCAGATGTTAGCATGAGTCTGAAATGTCTCATGTTTCACTGCTGCTATCGTTCTTTTCTAAATCACCTTAGTCTAGTGGAGGTTGCAGTTTTTGTTATTGTATGATTCCTTGACTCCCGGGTTTGCTGTGGACGAAGCGCTTTGACGCTGTTGAAAGATGCTACACACATTATAAACGGTAAACTTCTGTCTCCTCAGCGTCCGTGGCGCCCGTGGCCTCTGCTCCGGTCCTGACCTCGCTCCAGTCCAGCCCTGGTCTGGGGTCGTGGCTGTCGGACCTGCACCGTACCGTGAGCTCCCTGGACGTCCGGCGCGTGGCCCCCAGCTTCCTGTGCCAGGGGCTGGAGGAGGGAGACTACAGCGAGGCCCTGGAGCAGCTCAAGCTTCTGTCCCGGTGTTACCGTGACGACAGCGGCGGCGCTACACGCTCTTCTTCCGAGGACGACGACGACGACTGACGCTCAAACTGTTTCGAACGCACTCAAATAAAGTTACTGTTTTATTGTTGGTATAAAACCAACGCCGGAGTCCAAATGGAGAGACCGGATTTAACGGCTTTGTTACATTTTTGCCTCATGCTAAAAACTGCAGAAACTAAAATCACTGCTTTTGGACCGAGCACTAATCCCCAGAAAGTCAGTTTCATAAATACATTTGTCCTACAGACGTCTTGTACAAAGAAGAGCCCGACTGTTGTAGTCTGAGTACGTCAGGATCTCTGTGAAACATGTTAAAAATATAGTCTGTGCAGGATGTAATTAGGTACAATAAAAAAGTGACAATTAAAGAAACAGTTCAGTCCTGGTGATTTTCACTTTTCTGACAAATCTGATTTAAAGGAATAGTTCACCGTTTTTACATACTGACATATGTTCTTACCTTACCTTAGACTAGTTAATACGTACCTGTGTGATCTTAGTCCGTGCGCTCTGTCATGCAAACGGAGCAAAAACGGGAGGACAAATGCAGCCTCCTCTGCTCACTGTGTAGCACCAAAAGGTAGCTCCCGCTAGAAGCTACCAAACTCTTCCAAGTGTTCCCTATTAAATGTATATAGTTACGTGACGTGTTACACTGCAAAGTATAGTAACACAGAAATGTAACTGTCGATTTTCTCAGCGGATAAAACGGGTACTATATTGTGAGGCGTAGTAATCTGAGGTGCGCTACGTCCGCGCACTAACTTCTCTCTGTACTACAAGTCACGCTGCTTCTATTGACGGAAGTGAGCGAGAGAGAAGTCTCCGGAGAGAAGTTAGTGCGCGGACGTAGCGCACCTCAGATTACTACGCCTCACAATATAGTACCCGTTTTATCCGCTGAGAAAATCTACTGTTACATTTCTGTGTTACTATACTTTGCAGTGTAACACGTCACGTAACTATATACATTTAATAGGGAACACTTGGAAGAGTTTGGTTGCTTCTAGCGGGAGCTACCTTTTGGTGCTACACAGTGAGCAGAGGAGGCTGCATTTGTCCTCCCGTTTTTGCTCCGTTTGCATAACAGAGCGCACGGACTAAGATCACACAGGTACGTATTAACTAGTCTAAGGTAAGGTAAGAACATATGTCAGTATGTAAAAACGGTGAACTATTCCTTTAAAGAGACAGAAACCAGTGAAAGAATCAAACTGCTTTAGAACCAAGAACTATAATGGACTTCATTCAATGTGTGGTTTAAAGTTAGGTATCCCAGCTTTAAAAGGCAAGAGTAATGTTCATATTCCTCTACATTATTAACCTCCGGTTCTGTGGAAGTATATTGTACATTAAATGAGTTTTTCTAAAATCTTTGGTTTTAATTTTCTTTGTACAAAGTTACTCAGGACTTGCAGGTTCAACAATGGGCTGTATGCGCCGGGAGGTTTAGTAATCAGATACATTCAGCTGAGACTGACCCAAGTGTCTACGTGCTTTCTGAGGTAGAGCTTTGACTGTGGCCACTCAGATTTGTAAACTTTATTTAAAAAAAAAATAGTCCCAAAAATGCCCAGAATGCTGAGTTTAATTCCTGTTTGAGCATTATTTAGGAAACCCGTGTAAACATCTGAACTCCAGTGAAGCTCAGGCCGTTCCCGCGCACAGGAAGTGAAGTGGTAAAGTTGTTGTATAACTTGGATATTGGTAATATTAAACACAAACTATTTCATTATTGTCGGTTTTAAGACATTTAACACAGAAATAATCACCAAAATAAGCACAAAGTCACAAATCCTCAGCAGGTATTTTAATATGAAACTAAATGTTACAAGGACTTACAGATTTGGGGAAAATGGTTTGATCAATGAAATATTTCCAACGTTGCATAAAAAAGACTAAAACACAACAGTTAAACTTATAAAACAGAGATTGCACGTTCTATACAAACACTATGAAGAATAACAATGTAAAAATACAGTCGTGTAGCTTCGTGACGCTCAGACCATGGTTAGTTCCACCACAAACGGGTCTTGATCGGAGAAAAGAAAAGTAAAAACTGACTTCTTCAAATATCAAGAGAATATTCCTGTGACGTAAACTGGCCATGGGAGTTTTTCGCAGTTTGGAGGTGAAATGGATTTCCTACGACTAGTTATCAAAAAACAAAGGACTTCTGGGGTTTAGGATCGAGACCTGGACCTGGACCTGGACTTTGAGCGGGACACGGAGCGAGACTGGGAGCGAGACACGGAGCGCTTGTTACCGTTGGCCGGAGAGCGAGATTTGGATCTGGACTTGGACCTGGACTTGGATCTGGACTTGGACCTGGCTCTGGTCTCAACAGGAGAGCGGGACATTCTTCGTCCGTCGCCTCCGTCCGTGTCGCGCTCCTTCGATAAGGACTTCCTGGAGCGGTCTTTGGGCCCGGACTTGGAGCGAGACCTGGACCTGGACCTGGAGGAGTCCCTCTTAGTCTTCTTGGGCTCCTTCATCTTCTTGGGTTTGGGGCTTCGACTCAGGCTCTGCTCCTTCTTCGGGTCGCGCTCCTCGTCCTCGCTCCTGGACTTAGCGTTAGCCTTTTTGTTGCTGCGAGACCGACTGCGCGAGCGAGACCCTCTGTGGACAAGACACACAAGTTTCAGGTTTCAGCCTCGGTCCCCACCACAGGGACTCCAAAAAAATGTTTTCAATGTATAAGTCATCAATAAATAATGCATTTTGATTATTTTTCTTTAGACCCTTTTAGACCAATTTTATTCTATGGGCTTTATGCACGGGGAGGCGTGATGTCATTTCCTGTTAACACAGATCAGCCCGTTCACTTCCTGCCTGTGCTGTCCTATGGCTTTTAGGTGAGTTTTAGTGACGTTTAATAGTTAGATCGATACATTCAGCTGAGACTGACCCAAAAGTGTCACTGTGCTTTCTCTCTGAGGTAGAGCTGTGACTGTGGCCACTCAGAGAGATTGGTTAACTTTATAAAACACAATGACAGCACAATCAAAGAGCACTGCTGTGTCCCAAAAATGCCCAGAATCCTCACAGTTTAATTCCCGTTTAAACATTATTTAGGAAACTCGTGTAAACCACTGAACTCCAGAGAAACTCAAGCCGTTTCCTGCGGACAGGAAGTGAAGTGGTGCGTGCATAGAGCCCATTGTAATCATCTGTGACGTGAAATGAAGGTTAAAACAAAAACACTGAGTCCAGTCGTTCTATCGACGGTGACGATCCCGGACGTTTAGAGACATTCCTGGACATCGTCGTCCTGCTCCTTACGACCAACGGCTCAAATGTGTTTATTATTTTGTGAGGTGCTTTGTGTTGCAAAACAAAACACGATTTATTGAACCAGTTATTTTACATTTGATCTGAGACAACACAAAGTTTATGCTCCGGCACATTTCACTCATCAGGACAACACTGACATTTCCCACTGAGTGAAGCTCTAAAACATTAAACATTCACCTGGATCGTGAGCGGCTGCGGCTGCTGCTCCCGCTGCGGCTTCTGCGAGACCTGCGGCTTCTGGAGCGAGACCTGGAAAGAGAATAAACGTAAGGATAAAGATGAAGTGTTGATGTTGGAGTGAGTGGACGTGTGTAACAGCTGCCATTTTGTATCCACTGATTAAGAAATATGCAAATAGGATATTTATAATGTCATGACCCAAAGCCTTGAGGACCTCTGACCTTTTCAAAAACACTAACCTGCGATTTTACACCTATAAGAAAAATAAAACTTAGAACAAAGTAAACATGAACTATAATTGTTGGGTCTGTCCTGTAGCTGTGGCAGTGTTGTGTGTTGTATTAGTGTTGTTGGATTCTACTGCATGGTAAGTGTGGTGCAGGTTGTGGTGCAGGTTGTGGTGCAGGTTGTGGTGCAGGTTGTGGTGCGGACCCTGTAGCGCCACAGAACCCTCCTTCACCTGGAGCGGCTGCGTGAATACGACCGGCGGCGCCGGGCCCCGGGGCGGTCCTCGATGAGGCGGATCTTTCGTCCGTTCACTTCGGTTCCGTCGAGTTTGTCCAGCGCCCGCTTCATGTCGGCGTAAAGTCTGAACTCGATCACGCCCTCGTTCTTGCGGCCTTTGTGAGTGTCGGCGTAGGTCACCTCTCCGGCCTGCCGCATGTAGTCCTGAAGAACCAGAGCGTTTCAGACACAGGCACTTCCTGGTTTTCACACTTTGATATTTAGAAAGGATTGAGTTCCTAAAGACTGCACAGATGTAGAGTCTGATCTTTAAGTTTTTGTCCAGGTCAAATGAGTGCTGCAGACTTAGAGTAAAGTAAATACTGCAATAATTGGGCTTCTACTGAATCTTTAACAGGACTTTAGTTTTTGTGGAAACTGAAGATGTGAATGTGAAAACTGAGGGATTTTAAATTTTTCTCTTTCTGAATATTTGTGATTTTAATGCTATCTTGTTTTGTTCAGCACTTTGAGTGGCCTTGTGTATGAATTATGCTGTACAAATAAACTTGCCTTGCTGACTGCTAAAATATTTGTCATGAGACTCAACACTGAGCTAAGATTGAAAACAATGATTTTGAAAATCACGCCAGGATCACACAGATTTTTTACGTCCAAAAAAGGTAAGTGAAACAAACATTTACTGAGGAGTTTAAATGCAAGTCAATAGGAGACAGAGTTGGAGCAAAACTTTGTCCATGAGCACTTCCCTATTTTGGTTCATTGAGCTAGCTTCATCTGCAGTCGAAGAGCAAAACTAGATATTCCACGTTGTTCTTTTTAGTAAATCTTTGTTTAATAATATGATTATTATTGGTCCTCACCTTCAGATCCTGCCAACTGCAGCGGCTCGACAGGTTCTCCACAATGAGGCGGTAGTCCGTCCTGATGGGCGGCCCGTAGCGGTCTCTGCCGTAACGACCGTATCCACCTTTTTAACGTAAGGAGACGACAGAGACAATGAGGCCGGGAAAACGCAACACGTGTATGGAATTATTGTACTGAGCTAATGCTAATGTGTTCTAAATGTACTGAAAACTAGAATGTGCTAAAAATCATGAGGAAGAGTAAGAAAATAATAACTATACTGTGTAGCAAGGATAAGTATTAGCTGGTTGTGAAAAAGTATGAAAAGTAAGGCCTAGATTTACTGGTAATATAAAAAAAAAAAAAAAAGCATAAGTGATTCAAGAAGTACTTACGTTGAACTAAAACTACAATAACAACTACATTTAAATATATGATTATTAGAAAAACATGTAGTGCTTCAGACTGAACCCACATCTGATCCTAACCCTTTGGCATCCTCACCACCCGACCTGGCCTAGTGGCAAAGCGGTCTTCATTCACAATGGCTCTGGCTTTTTTGGCTCTGCCCAGGGGCCCAATGGTCAAACCACACTCTTGGAAAGGGGGGACACCATGGCCAGCAAATGGGGCAGGCAGTCACCCAAGGACTCTTTCAATTAAAACATTGAGGTGCTTTGTTAAATCTTTAGCCTTAAAATTCACAGTCATTTATAAAATTACAGCAACATTACATGACATTTAGCAGTATATTTAGCAGTTACATGTAGTTTAACAAGAAGCCAAATCCAACGGCACATTTTTACAGGGTCAATGGTGGCTTTGATGCGGCAACTTTGTATTCTAGGCTGCGTTCATGTGACATCACACCATTCCAAAGATCCTATAGTTTCAAATGTGGTAGAGGTCAGTGGGAAAATCTTAGTGATTATAGCAAGTGTCAAAAGTCTTAGCCAATTGTTATTCGTGCCAATCAAATCTAAGAAAGCAAAAGAGTATTCTACAACATGAACGAAACCTTTTGAATGAACTATTTGAATCAGCGGTTAAAATAAAAACATGACATATTGTTAGAATTGAGAGAATTTATATCTCGAGTCTTCTCATTGAGCTTTTCCCTCGAGTACATGTCGTTCTTGAATCAGCTCCGAGAAGGCAGACATGTGAAACCTAAATGTTAAAACTTCTAACCCCATTAACAGCCACAGCACCTGTTTCATCCGCTCTGTTCAAAGTCCCGACGCCCACGATGGAGTTTCAGAATCAGTTATGTCCTAATTTAATGCTCTATCAAAGTCTCGGGTTGGACTAGAAATGGTTCAGTTGGAGTCAATATACGCGGCTACTTATGCAGGTAATAATATGGTAATAATATGGTAATAATATGGTAATAATATGGCTCTGGACTAAGACTGGTGAACAAAATGTCAAGAGTGTAATTGTTTTACTTGCAGACTACTGTAATCAAACACAATGTCTAACTAGTTGTAAGTAAAAGCCAAGTTACCTGAACCAACGCCACCAAAGACCCTTTGATAAAATATTTCTAATCAAAACAATGCATTTAAATAGAAAAATATGTGTCAAATACTTACTGCGTCCTCCGTCTCCTCCTCTACCACCACTGTCTCCTCCTCTACCACCACCACCTCCTCCGCCTCCCCCGTAACCGTAACCCCCTCCTCCTCCTCCTCCTCCTCCGCCGCCACCCCCTCCTCCTCCACCGCTTCCTCCTCCACCGCCTCCTCCTCCACTCCCTCCGTCACGCCGCGGGCCTTTGGTGTGCTCCACGATCACCCGCTCCCCGCACAACTCCTTCCCGTTCATATCGTACACGGCGTCGTCCGCATCCCGAGGGTCGTCGAACTCCACAAAACCGTACCTGGAAAAATAAACAGTGTTACAAGTTACAGAAAAGAGATGGGCGACTGTTGTACATGGTTTAAGTGAGGAGAACATGCAAACTCCATCAGGCCGAGGTTTGTCTTAGCGATGGGCTTCAAGCGTGACTGAAACATTCAGCTTCCATGTTCCTGTTTGAATATCCTTTTCCCCATTCACCAGAACTATGCTGTTCATACATAAAAATAAATATCCCGTCACTAACGAGCTCCACATGATGTAAAAGTGGAGTCAGAATAAATAAACTAGTTAGTTCTGTCCGTGACAAACTAAAACAAACCCAAACACACCGTCAGTGCTTCAGGGCCCACAGCGGGCCACAGCCTTCGATAACAAAGACTCAGAACCACGAAATTCAATCCCAAATATTACAATAAATATATATTGCCACGTCTCGAGCGCTGCTACATGCTAAGCTACATGCTAAGCTACATGCTAAGGTTCATGCTAAGGTTCATGCTAAGGTTCATGCTAAGCTACATGCTAAGCTACACCGCGCAGACAACAATGGATGCATTTAGAGTTTTTCAAGTGTCCCTAAAAACTAGGGAAGTAGAAAATGCAATATTACTGTTATCTGCATCTACATTACCACATGTGTGCATGCACGATCATACTACTCGAATGTTAGCCTAGAGCTAGCATTAGCATTGTTAGCATTAGCATTGTTAGCATTAGCCGCTGGGCCCGACACACTTCATCCTTCGCTTGAGAATAATAAAACAGCCAAAGTCTGACCCATTTTTCAGATCAACCTCCAGAATCTTCCCATAGCCTTTGAAAAACCTCTCCACGTCCTTCTCCCTGGCTCTGTAGCTCAGTCTCCCCACGTAAACCCGGGACATCGTGTTCCTACGGGTTACACACGGGGCCCTGGTAAATGAAGTAGTGGCGACAGACGACCACAGGAGGGCGCTATAGTTAAACCACAGTCTGTGGGAAAACAGACGACCACAGGAGGGCGCTATAGTTAAACCACAGTCTGTGGGAAAACAGACGACCACAGGAGGGCGCTATAGTTAAACCACAGTCTGTGGGAAAACAGACGACCACAGGAGGGCGCTATAGTTAAACCACAGTCTGTGGGAAAACAGACGACCACAGGAGGGCGCTATAGTTAAACCACAGTCTGTGGGAAAACAGACGACCACAGGAGGGCGCTATAGTTAAACCACAGATTCTGTGGGAAAACAGACGACCACAGGAGGGCGCTATAGTTAAACCACAGTCTGTGGGAAAACAGACGACCACAGGAGGGCGCTATAGTTAAACCACAGTCTGTGGGAAAACAGACGACCACAGGAGGGCGCTATAGTTAAACCACAGTCTGTGGGAAAACAGACGACCACAGGAGGGCGCTATAGTTAAACCACAGTCTGTGGGAAAACAGACGACCACAGGAGGGCGCTATAGTTAAACCACAGTCTGTGGGAAAACAGACGACCACAGGAGGGCGCTATAGTTAAACCACAGTCTGTGGGAAAACAGACGACCACAGGAGGGCGCTATAGTTAAACCACAGTCTGTGGGAAAACAGACGACCACAGGAGGGCGCTATAGTTAAACCACAGTCTGTGGGAAAACAGACGACCACAGGAGGGCGCTATAGTTAAACCACAGTCTGTGGGAAAACAGACGACCACAGGAGGGCGCTATAGTTAAACCACAGTCTGTGGGAAAACAGACGAGATGTGCAGGGGACGGGCTCTTATGGGTCTGTCTATGGCAGGGGTCGGCAACCCGCGGCTCCGCGGCTTAACTTTTATGGCTGCACCATTGAGAGTTTACTTGTTGGTTCTGTGTCTGTGTGGTTTGGAAACATCACAGATAAAGAAAAGAGAGCTTTAAACAAGGTGCTCCGCTCTGCAAAGAGGACCGTGGGCTGTGAGCTTCCTGTTCTGGAGGTTCTTTATAAATCCACACTTTTAAACAAAGCTCTTAGGATTGTTAATGACTCTTCTGGCCACCCTGGGAAAGCCATGTTCCAGCTTCTTCCCTCTGGCAGAAGATATCGCTCTGAGATGCAGGACATCTCGTTACGCTAACAGTTTTTATCCACAGGCTGTTATCAGTGTGAACAGAGCACTTTAATGATTTGCACTTGTTTTGAAACTGTTTTAGTCGATCCATTTCACAGTGACATTTGTTTACTGTTTTATTTGTTTTATTTCTGTCTTTTATTGTCTGTATATGTCTGTGCACACTGGAGACTTTTGATAATGTATTCCAATGTGGTTTTACTGCAAATGGCAAATAAACTGAATCTGAATCTTATGGGGGCTATTATGGGGTCTGTCTATGGAGGCTCTAATGGGGGCTGTTATGGGGGCTCTAATGGGGGCTGTTATGGGGGCTGTTATGGGGGCTGTTATGGGGGCTCTTATGGGTATGGGGGCTCTTATGGGGGCTGTTATGGGGGCTCTAATGGGGGCTCTTATGGGGGCTCTTTTGGGGCTGTTATGGGGGCTCTTATGGGTATGGGGGCTGTTATGGGGGCTCTTATGGGTATGGGGGCTCTTATGGGGGCTGTTATGGGGGCTCTAATGGGGGCTCTTATGGGGGCTCTTATGGGGGCTCTTTTGGGGCTGTTATGGGGGCTCTTATGGGTATGGGGGCTGTTATGGGGGCTCTTATGGGTATGGGGGCTCTTTTGGGGGCTGTAATGGGGGCTCTTATGGGGGCTGTTATGGGGGCTGTTATGGGATCTATGGATCTATAATAATAACGGTGGTATTATATTCGATGGAGTCTAGTCAACAAACATGTTTTAATCGACCAGTCATTATTGCAGTAACGTGTGACATGTGAGAGTAGTATTTACAGCAGTGTGCTCCCTGTGCTGTCCTGACTGTGCGCTGCAACAGTGACATTTCCCACTTATCTTATCTTACATAAAGGTTCACTTTATCTATTGTTATTATAGCTTGCATGTAGCTAAATTCATTCATGTTAGAGTTAGGGTTATCTTCATGGGGTGGGAGCAAAGTCTACAAGGTTTTACTTCTTTCCAAAATCCATTTCGAGCTGACAAATTGTAAACAAAAATAAATGTGTAAATATATAGTGAAATGTACAAAAATATGATGAAACATAGTCTATGGATGAAACTAGGACAAATACTGTTTATGTATATATGTATTTATTTGTATGTATATACCGTAAGAACAGTGGGAAACATAACAATGGACAAAATGCCTCCATAAACTAATTTAAAGGAATGTAAATAGTGTAAATACTTATGAATGTATCATTTCTGCTCAAATGAATCAAATCAAATCAAACTTTATTTTTTCTGCAGTCAACATTAAAGCCGGGGTACCTAACTTTCTAACTACTCTGTGATGAAAGTAGTTCCTCACTCTGAAAACAGCACTTTCTATCACTTGTTTTCAAATATTACATATATTAAATATTCATTATATATTCAGCCTCACTCTGCTCTCAGCCCAAAGCGTCAAAACATGACACCCAGGGCTTTCTCAAAGGTTACAGGAGGATTTACCCACATTTAGGAAAGAACCGCTCTCTCCACTTTTTGAAACGCTCTGCTCTTATTGGACGAGCTCGTATCAGCAGAATGATTGACAGTTGGGAGGACCAATAGTCTTCATGATTCACCTGGAAGTAAAATATCCTCCTATAAAACTTTAAGCAAAAGCAGTTTTTCCAATAATATGAAGACAGCATGTTGAGGCCAGATCTGTTTACAGAATGTTACTTTTACAAGATTCTTCGGACAAACCACATTCAACGACGAAGAGAAAGATTCAATAAATAAATACATAAATATGCTAAACTACACAGTACAGGCTTTACGCAAAAAAGAGAAAGTTTTTATCCAGAAAAGCATCATGTTTTAGCCCTTCCCTCATTTCCTTCAGTACAGAACCTTTGTTTGGGGCAGAATCAGTTCTTTCTCCACAGACGATAAATACAGAAGTTTGTAAAAGGTTTATTTTGGACACACAAAAAGCGACACATTTTAAGGCAGATGCATAAATTCAGTTTCAGTTTTGTTAATGATATGACGATAATGAACTGAACTAGAGCACGCACTCGGAGATCGCATACCCCGCCGACAGCCCCCGCTGCAGCCTCCGTTAGTGACTTCATGGATACAACGAAACATGTTTTTAAGTCCCTGAGACGATGGAGAGAACAACCAAATCTGATGTAATCTTTCTCAGATTGACACATTCAGTGAAGGTTTAGTCGTGAGTCTAGTTTAAAATCATAGTTTACAATTTGTCCGGTTTTATATTTTTGTAGAAACATAAAGTTTAAAGAACACAATTCATAGAAAAATACACATTTGTTGAAGTCAATTATAGACATTATAGTTGTGCTTCCTCTCGGACTCAGTACATGGTCAATTATAATATTTTAATATGTTTTTAATAATATTAGATCATGTTAAAGTTGTGCATTGGACAAGTTTATCTCATATCTCGTGTTATAAACAGTTCAAACAAGTGCAGATGAGTTTTAGTGAAATTAGTAAATTATAGTTTTTTACCAATAAATCCACAGTTTGTGTTAAAATTAAGGAAGTTGAGCCAAGTTCCTGAACTGATGACATCACAGGAGCGAGATATTGGCACATTTTTATGACTCTTTAAATCATCGTCTGTTTTAGCTCAAAACAAAACATGATCAGGAGGAAACACCCTCCACAGTCAGGCACTAAAACAGTGTTAAAAAAACTATGAAATGGGATAAAACCATTTATGTTTCTTTTTTAGCAAAATCCTAAATCTAACGAAGGCAACTGTGTTTTAGAGAAAACATTTAAAACCTGAAAAACGCACTTTTACATAAAACTTTGGCCACAGCAAAAGACAAAGAACGTCACTACGACCGTGGACACAACCATGGACACAACCGTGGACACAATCATGGACACGACCATGGACGCGACCATGGACACAACCATGGACGCAACCATGGACACAACCATGGACACGACCATGGACACAACCATAGACACGACCATGGACACAATCATAGACACGACCATGGACACAACCATGGACACGACCATGGACACGATCATGGACACGACCATGGACACGATCATGGACACAACCATGGACACGACCATGGACACGACCATGGACACGACCGTGGACACGACCATGGACACGACCATGGACACGACCATGGACACGACCATGGACACGACCATGGACACGACCATGGACACGACCATGGACACGACCATGGACACGATCATAGACACGACCATGGACACGACCATGGACACGACCATGGACACGACCGTGGACACGACCATGGACACGATCATAGACACGACCATAGACACGACCATGGACACGACCATGGACACGACCATGGACACGACAATGGACACGACCGTGGACACGACCATGGACACGACCATGGACACGATCATGGACACGACCATGGACACGACCATGGACACGACAATGGACGCAACCATGGACACGACCATGGACGCAACCATGGACACGATCATGGACACGATCATGGACACGATCATGGACGCAACCATGGACACGATCATGGACACGATCATGGACACAACCATGGACGCAACCATGGACACGACCATGGACGCAACCATGGACACAACCATGGACGCAACCATGGACACGACCATGGACGCAACCATGGACACGATCATGGACACGATCATGGACACGATCATGGACACAACCATGGACACGATCATGGACACGACCATGGACGCAACCATGGACACGATCATGGACACAACCATGGACACAACCATGGACGCGACCATGGACGCAATCATGGACGCAACCATGGACGCGACCATGGACACGACCATGGACACGACCATGGACACGACCATGGACACGACAATGGACACGACCATGGACACAACCATGGACACGATCATGGACACGATCATGGACACGACCATGGACGCAACCATGGACACGATCATGGACACAACCATGGACACGACCATGGACACGACCATGGACACGACCATGGACACAACCATGGACACGATCATGGACACGACCATGGACACGACCATGGACACGATCATGGACACAACCATGGACGCAACCATGGACACGACCATGGACGCAACCATGGACACGATCATGGACACGATCATGGACACGATCATGGACACAACCATGGACACGATCATGGACACGACCATGGACGCAACCATGGACACGACCATGGACGCAACCATGGACACGATCATGGACACAACCATGGACACGACCATGGACACGACCATGGACGCAACCATGGACACGATCATGGACACAACCATGGACACAACCATGGACACGACCATGGACGCAACCATGGACGCGACCATGGACACGACCATGGACACAACCATGGACACGATCATGGACACGACCATGGACACGACCATGGACACGACCATGGACACGACCATGGACACGACCATGGACACGATCATGGACACGACCATGGACACGACCATGGACACGACCGTGGACACGATCATGGACACGACCATGGACACGACCATGGACACAACCATGGACACAACCATGGACACGACCATGGACACAACCATGGACACGACCATGGACACGACCATGGACACGACCATGGACACGACCATGGACACGACCATGGACGCAACCATGGACACGATCATGGACACAACCATGGACACGACCATGGACACGACCATGGACGCAACCATGGACACGACCATGGACGCAACCATGGACACGATCATGGACACGATCATGGACACGATCATGGACACGATCATGGACACGACCATGGACACGATCATGGACACGACCATGGACACGATCATGGACACGACCATGGACACGATCATGGACACGACCATGGACACGACCATGGACACAATCATGGACACGACCATGGACACGATCATGGACACGACCATGGACACAACCATGGACACAACCATGGACACGACCATGGACACGATCATGGACACGACCATGGACACGATCATGGACACGATCATGGACACGATCATGGACACGACCATGGACACGATCATGGACACGACCATGGACACGATCATGGACACGACCATGGACACGACCATGGACACGACCATGGACACGACCATGGACACGATCATGGACACGACCATGGACACAACCATGGACACGACCATGGACACGACAATGGACACGACCATGGACACGATCATGGACACGATCATGGACACGATCATGGACACGACCATGGACGCAATCATGGACACAACCATGGACGCGACCGTGGACGCGATCATGGACACGACCATGGACACGACCATGGACACAACCATGGACGCGACCGTGGACACGACCATGTACACGACCATGGACACGATCATGGACACGATCATGGACACGATCATGGACACGACCATGGACGCAATCATGGACACAACCATGGACGCAACCATGGACGCGATCATGGACGCGACCATGGACGCGACCATGGACACGACCATGGACACGACCATGGACACAACCAAGGACACGACCATGGACACGACCATGGACGCTACCATGGCCGCGACCATGGACACGACCATGGACGCAACCATGGACGCGACCATGGACACGACCATGGACACGACCAAAGACACGACCATGGACACGACCATGGACACGACCATGGACACACGACCAAAGACACGACCATGGACACGACCATGGACACGACCATGGACGCAACCATGGACGCGACCATGGACACGACCATGGACGCAACCATGGACGCGACCATGGACACGACCATGGACACGACCATGGACACGACCATGGACACGACCATGGACACGACCATGGACACGACCATGGACACGAGTCCATGGTGACTTTACGACTGTGATAAAAACTCACTAAAAAGGCACAAAATCAACAAATAAAAATAAATACTGATGAACACTTTGGGGAATATCTCAGACGTTTGTGTCTACGGTGAAAATGCATCGTCTGCGTCGTCCTCGGGGCCTGGGTCTCTGGGGAGGCGGGACATAGAGAGACCAGGCTCCTCTTCTGTGCTCTGATTGGTTGGTCTCTTTGGTGCGGCCCTCTGATTGGTCGGTCGTGACGTGTCGCTGGAGCCGCCCACAGACTGGCTCCTGTTGGGACTCTCCGTCTCGTCGTACGTGTAAACTTTGTGCTCTGCAAAAACAAAACATGTTCATGAAATATGTGTCAAACTTCAGTCCTTTTGGTCTGAAAAATGTTTGAGTGATGAACAAAGTCTCTGTTGTTTTTGTTGATGAAAGAATAAAAAAGAACTTATCACTCAAATGGCTCCGAATATTTATGTTTTTGATTCTATGTTTTAAAACCGAAACAGCAGCAGTGAAATATCATCGGGCTGATGTTCGATACGAGTGTTTAGTATTTCTATTACGATATTTTTGTCTTTAAAAGTGCATCTGCAGCGTAACACAAATAACTAATAATAAGCACAACATGTGTCAGTTTCGTCGTCTTTAATAAAAGAAAAAAACAAAACAATGTTTGTGCATCGTTTTGATATCGCACAAACCAATATCGCGATAACGATATTTCTTCGATATATTGTATAAGTATTGAAGTGAGACGTAAAACGACAAATATCACAGACAAGGAGTAAAATATAAAACCAGTGAAGTCATAAACAGAAAATAAATAATAAATAATATAATAATATAATAATAAATAATATAATAATATTCAGAACCACAAGGATTAATGAGACAAAAACAGTGGAAACACCTCCGCTGCTCGGCCTCTGACTTTACAGACTGAAACGTTTGCTCTTGAGGAGCAGGTACAGGAATAATAACATTATATGTATTAGGGGTGTGACAATATATCGATATCGCGATACTTTCTCCCGTGATTCGATTATCGATATGCATTTGCCAAGTATCGATATCGATTTTTTTTATTTTTTTATTAGTATCAATACTTAATATATGGCTACATTACGCATCTCCGTTCCATTTATCATGAAATAAAGAGTATTTTTTAACTTAAATCTTTTCTTTTATTTATGCCATAAATTGGCATATTGTATATTTCTGACCAATATATCGATAATCGTCATATCGTGATATAATCGTTATCGTGAGCTGTGTATCGTATCGAATCGTGAGGTACCCTTAGATTCCCACCCCTAATATGTATACATATATTTTAGGGCTGTCAAAATTATCGCGTTAACGCACGTTAATTAATTTTGTTCATTAATCGCGCTAAAAAAATGAACGCATTTGACGCATGCCCATGCGTCCCATAATAACACTCAGAATGCCGCGGACACATGCGTGTGTAAGACGGGGACAGAGCAGGTCTCTGGGAGTGACCGCGGGGCACTTGTTGTTTCCTGTATGAGCTCTGCATGATGAGCTGCGGGCGCCACAGCGCTCTGGACCGTTCCCACTTCCAGCGGCTGTGGTCACGGCGAACGGCGCTGCGTAATGGGATCATATGGGAGCAGGACCCCCTTGAAAAAGAGATGGTTCATCTCAAGGGGTTATCCTTAAGAATAAATAAATATCCAAGACCACGCACAGAACTATTACAGAACTATTCTCTAGTGTGCGTACGTGTCTTTGTGTAACCGATGCACACAATATGTACAGCGCTGAAGCTGGAGGAGCCTCAGTCTCCTCCGTGTCTTCTCCCGAAGCGCACTCGCTAAATTAAAGCTGAGGTACCTAATTTTCCTTTCGACCATCAGTTCATGTTAGTTGTGCCAAAAAAAGTAATGTTGTGAGCAAATCAAACAGATTTAATGACATTCTGCTTCTGACTGTTTTGAAATGTCCCTCATCTGTAACAAACAATGGTTTGGTCTGAGTCTAAACAGAAAGACAGAATGTTAAT